TGCGGAATGGCCAGAAAGGTTTTGTGAATACGGAGCCCCCCACTGTATATATTGATGTTTGCGTCCAAGTTCAAGGAGGGGTTAGTGTCCTTGAAACTGAAGGTTTCCACGGACGCAAAGGCGCCAGCTAGGTTTATTTTTATAACAGAATGGTAATGGACATCTACGATTTTGCCCGTCTTCCCTTATCGGTGAAGGCAAATACGCTACAAGAATGAGGTTTCAGTTTTCCACGTAGACTATGCTATAAGCACTCGAACTTGTCTAGGTGTTCGGATTCAGTATTCTTTCCGACAGTTCGGTACAAAGGTCTTATCACTGCGATATTAAGAGAAATACCAGATTCCGCAGAGTAATCATCTATCTATATATCACAAAAGAACGTGTGTTTCAAAATTCAGTGTTGGTGTTGTGCTAATTTTGTTAACTTTATTCAAAGAAATGTTTAAGAGATAACGGACGTATGTGGTCGAAACTGGTGAGCCTGTGTCAGAATGACGGCTGATTTCTAGTTCGTATAAGGGACATTGTAGCTGAGCTGTAAGTATGATGGATTGAGTACAACTTATATCGGCAGGAGTTCGGCTTAGGTAAAAGCATCTGATTCGTTCGGGCTTGGGATTGATGATAGCGTTTTTGTGGGAGCGTTCACGAGGGGAAATGACCCTACCAAACCGTCGGGGAGCACAGCAATTTGTGTATCCAAAATAAGTGTAATAAAACAGGACATTCTTGAAGCTAAAAAGAAACACGGCACAGTTTATCCTTGTGAATAAGCCCGGATAACTCTGATCGATAACTTTACCAATACTTAAAAATCATCTTCAGTAATGCATCACAGAAAAGGTATGACAAGTTAATTGTTTTTATGATATTATTCCAATAAAATCGTTTAAAAATAATGTTTTTGCTGTAGGTTTGAACTTCAACTCGGTTGTAGTTCTTTGTGTAATTGATTGTTGTTTTAATTAACTATGTTATTGGGATGCATTTAGATGTATAGGAAAAGGTAGAGGTAATGTTTGACAATGAGACAAACTGATGATGATGATGATGAATGATGAATGGTGATGACAATGATAATGGAAAGTGCAAAAGTTATTTCAGTGATGTGTAATAATGATGCTGGGATATAATAATGGATTCATAAATGATGTATGTGGAGAATGGTATAAATAATCTATAGTGGTGGTGATTGATTATGATGATGAATGGTGGTTGGTGATGATGATGATGATATATGTTTTGCGGCTGGTTTATGATTATATAAGTGGTAGATGTTTGGGGTGTGATGACTCGATATAGATGATGAGGTGGTGATGATGATGATAGTGGTCTCGCTCGATATATAAGCGTTACTGAGATATTAGGCTATATACGTTGAAGATCATGTTACGATGATGATGATGATCTTTAGAATGTCACTAATAATTATCGGTATAGCGACGGTTAATGATGATCTTCGTGATGATAATATGGGTTATGCTGCTGGATGTGATTGACAGGTATAGTTTGACCATGATTAATTGTGACTAGAAATAACTGTATGCATAGATGATATTGTATTATAGTATTTGAAAGTGAAATAAGCATATAGTAATCATGATATGAAGTTATTCTATACTAGATTTATATGTCGACGGTTTCATTGATTTTCCAGGAATTAATATTTGTCTCGCACTATTTGATTTGAGCTCTCTTGCATTGGCTAGTTACGTTACTGTAGTCATCGAAATATGACGCTATTCGATGCCAGCGTTAAGCTTACTAGATCTCTATTAAAGCGTCACGTGACAGATCTAGACGCTGCGCTGTTAGTGGTTGAAAATATATGTGCTCATTGCGGGAACTCGATGGTTCTTAGTAAGGTACATCTTTACTTTTATATAAAAATATTGTGACATAGCTCAGCAATACGCAAAAGAGTGTGAAGAAAAATGGTATAAACTATTTAGAAGAAGCAAACTCATTCATAATGGTTTGAAAACGGTTAAATTAAGAAATTTTAAACGACTACAAAGAACGAACAAGGTGCATGGTCAACTAAAAGGTTTTTGTGGTTGTTATTTGTGTAAATATTTATGTTTATGGATGTAGCGTCAAATTTATTTATTATTTTATTTTTAGGGTAGAGTAAGACGCAGTGTTAGACTCAATCTCTTATTTTACGAACATCAATGAAGGCATGCAACCAAAGAATCTAGGTGTATGATCAGCACGCTATGACGGAAACTTATTTACTATTTGCTTATCTTATCACCCTCGGAAGAGCCCCCGTTTTCAAGCTGAATAATGTCATCTTTGTGTAAAGCGCTTTTCTCATAATAAACAGACAGACTCATGGTAAGACATTAGCGATGACCCTGATTGTTGACTTCGATTATCTGACGGAGCTACATCTACGTATGCGCATCCGACACCGGTAGCCTGGTGTATACGATAGATACTGTTCTTGTTCCTCATAGTACAGACAAATAATATAGACAATAGTAATAAAGAAAGATAAATAAATATTCTGATTAAGAGACACATAATTCAGTTATAGTGTTGTAAATATTTGTATAGACTCAAGAAACAAGACTTCTGAGACGCAATTATTTGCTTGAGTGTATGAAATCGACTTAACAAGCATATACTTATAAGCTCATTACAAAGTGGTATAGAACTGATCAATTCTATGGTTTCAACAGTTGACACATGACTCTAGTTTGGAATTTCTCCTATGGAGTTGATTCGCTATAGCTAGCACTCCACGGCCGACAGTGAGGTCACTTCAATTAGACGTGTATAACAAATAGCAAGATATACGACAATTCTTTATGTGATGGCTCTCAAATGTACAATATAGCTGTAATATAATAAATAATACCTTTATTTGTTCTGTTCTTTATAAGTATAGTAATGCGTAATTTTTTGTTAAAAAATACTTATTGCTGTTACAAGAATATACTATAATAACTTAGATTTTCATTGAATTAAATAATCAACTACATGTATTATATACTGGGGGATAAATATTATCCCTAGATATTTGAAGAATTGAGGCATGTAAGCTATCTAACACTCATTTAAAACCGGAGTGGTATGTAAGCATTTTTTTGTACATTTTGCTACTTGTCGAGTTTTATGGAGTGGCCAAAAGTTGGTAACCGTGACCTGCAACGGAAGCTATGCACCGGTAAGCGCTTTTCACGGAAAAATGAGATCGTGATATAGATATTATGAGTCCTTCTTGTAGCTCGGAAAGCTTCATTATTAAGATATGAGACCTCGCATAAATGGAGCGAATTGGGTCGGCGGTAGCTTTTGATTGAGCAATTAGTCTATAGATACTATTAACAACGCTGCATGCTAATTTTCAATTTTAGTAACTAAATGTAATAATATTCATGTATCTAAAACATTTGATTTTAGAGATTAAGGCAGACTTGCTTATCAAAAAAAATGTATGTTACATTTCTGACAGAATCTTTTTTTTCATCTCTGAAGGTATATTTTGTTTTCAAGGTTCAACTGTCGGATTCGTTTGTGCTGACACAATGGCAGGTCGGAATCCCGTTTGTGGCTGGTGTGTATATAAACAAAGGTATAGAGTACACTTGTGTTATGTTTTATACTTATTTTGTCAAATTAATATAATATATGTTATGTAACGAAAAAAATCAAATAAAATTACAGCTTAGTAATTCAGGCTATAAACTTATACTGACTAATATGAAAGATGGAAAATACAGATTGTATGTGATAGTAAAATTGACTAGTAAACATTATAACTTTGATATGAAAGGCACTTATTGCTTAGAAACATTATTGTCATAATATCCGGAGTAACAGCATGTAGTCAGAGTTTTTTTCTGACTTTTTTCTTTTTCATTTTTGTTTTATTTTCTTTTTTTTTTAATTTTTTTTTTTTTTATATCTTCAGACTACTATATCTGAACCAAGTGTAGTTTAGTGCAATTAGCTAAAAAAGTCAACGCGGAGCAATATATGGTTTAGATATAGAATATTGAGAGAACAGAATGGCCAATTAGTAACTTTACTGTTGGAACACTTATAACAGAACGACACAAAATGAAACGTTCATGAATTTGAATTTTTTTAGTGGTCTTGTTCTCCTTTGAATTTTGAACTATCGATTAGAACTTTATTGGATGGATCAATCAATCAATCAATCAATCAAAGTCAATCAATCAATCAATCAATTATTTAATCCATCAATCAAGTCAATCATCTAATTTGCAATGATCACTGGATTTTTTAAACCAAAAAGTTTGTATTACCAGTTTTTTTATGCAAAAATATTATACATTTATCTGACACATTACTGAAAACGTTTATTTCAAAGAGCAACAAGGAAATCCAAATGCTCATGAAGGCGCCCTATCGATGTGCGATATTACATCGTTACTCAAATGTAAAATCGTGAGATGTATTTAGAACGTCCATAAGATTCCCTGTAGAGCGGACTCAAAGATGAACACGTCAATCGTTGCTATTTATTACTATAGTTTCTCAGACACTCCTAAAATGATGTACAAGAAATAGATGCACCATAAATATATTCAAAAGCCTCGCTTGTGGGCACTTTTTTGCCTATTATGGGGTGCAACTTTGGTACACTAGGTAATCTCTTCTTGCCCACTGAGTCATGTTAATTGATATACGTCATCGTTGCATTGATATAATTGGAACAGTGGTATATTAATATAGAATAATTTACTTGCAGACGAGATGCTGTTAGTATTATAATAACACTAGATAGTCAATATAATATATGCACGCATATATACCCTGCATAATTTGTGTATCTGTAGTTAACGTTCATATTGTAAAGTTCTAAAAAAATATAAAAAAAAGTATTTCCCTAAAGAACTCCCAAAATGACAAAAATTGAAAATGTTGCCTTAACAGATCAGTGAGCGGTCCGATGCGCAAGAGAGTTGGTTTGATAGAGCTTCTCATGGACGGTAGTGGAAAGTGCAAGTCTTTACAGAGTACAAAATGATTTATATTCTCTAGGTAACATTGACTCTCGAGCACATGCCGAAGCCGCGAACCGAGGATGTTTTCAAATGCAGGCTTGTGGATGCAAACGATGTAATCATTGCCTCAGATATACATGCAGAGAGAAATGACAGTGAGTTTACGTGTGCCATGCCTTTTATATCAGGTTCGTTTGTCATTAACGTCATGGCTTTTACGTTAGGTGACATTTGTTACCTGTATTTTATTTCAAATCTTATTAAATAGAAACAATGCACTTTCAGCATTTACTCCAGTGATTCAAAATTCAAGAAAAAAAATTACAGGTCATATGCAATAAATTAATAACTGATATTGCAGTATATATCACCATATTTCTGCTTCGTGACTAACGCAATAAGGTCTATTTTTGAATTTAATTTTCTGAGCATTTTTTTGGTAATTTTAAGTGCCGTGTAAATTACATTCTTTGTTCACTTAACAATACTCTACTCTTAAATACTCTTTAATTTTTTTCATGAAAATAAGCATGAATCAGGAGGCATGCTGCTTTAACACGTTTTTGAAATATTTGAGTCGCGTCACGACAAAACCAACGTAATGCGTTTTCGACCAGCATGGATGCGCATCCGCGCAGTCTGGTCAGGATCCAGTTTCTCTACTTGTTACAGGGTTTGCAAGCGAACAGCATGGATCCTGAACAGACGGCGCGGATGCGCAGGTGGTCTGGATCCATGCTGGTCGCAAACGCATTACGTTGGTTTTGTCGTGACACGGCTCATTTGTATGCCTATGTTACCAGTGTTTTGAATTCTTCTGCACGCTTTTATATGTAAATATCACTGAAGCAAATACTGGAAGTGTATTGCTTATATTTTATTAAGTATGAATTAAAATATATGTAACAAATGAAATATGGGAAGTGCGTTATGCTCGACTTTATGAAAGAAGGTTTTTTTAATGATGAATAAGCAAATATTTTTTTCATTCGTAATAATACATTTTAATGATCCTTACCGTGACAAAGTGTATGTCTTTATGTCTTTTCGTTTTATATTACAGAACATGTCGAGTTAAAAATTGAGCTTCATGTGCAGACGACTTCAAATGAGAATATTCTTCTTTCCGAAGCAACCATTTTATTTTTCGAGTGTGTAAAATTTAAGAGGTAAAATTCATTTTTCTTCTTTACTTTTTTTTAAATAATTATATGCAATGGTGACGTCATTATTTAAAACAATGAACATTGGTGATGACATACATGACTTCTATTTTTAACAACCTATTATTTTTTCCGTTCAAATATAAAGCAAAGTCTGCAAATGGTTTGTATTTGCAAAAAGAATCTAAATAACAAAATAAAAACAACGACAACAACAACAACAGCAGCAGCAGCAGCAACAACAACAATAAAACAACAGCAACAAAAAACCTAAACTAATTCAATGTTTAGTTGTTGCCAACAAGAATAGGTCAGAATAAAAAAAATCATCATAAGAATGTCATAAACACCTATTAATTGTGTTTTTTTTTTCTTCAAATATAAAGCAAAGTCTGCAAATGATTTGTATTTGCAAAAAGAATCTAAAAAACAAATAAAAAACAAACAACAACAACAACAAAACAACAGCGACAAAAAACCGAAACTAATTCAATGTTTAGTTGTTGCCAACATAATAATAGGTCAGAATAAAAAAAAATCATCATAAGAATGTCATATTATGTTTTGTAGATGCACAGACTGTATCAATAGATCGGATAGTCATTGTAATTGGTGTAATAACGCTGTAATGTGTCAGACACGACAGTCAACGTGTAAAAGTGGTTTGGTAAATTCGGTAAGTGCATTCGGTGTGATAAGTAATATAATATAAGATAATAGGTATGATATGATATGGTACGGTATGATATAATATGATATGATATAATATGATACAGTATGATATGATACAGTATGATATGATACGGTATGATATGATACGGTATGATATGATACAGTATGATATGATACAGTATGATATGATACAGTATGATATGATACGGTATGATATGATACAGTATGATATGATACGGTATGATATGATACGGTATGATATGATACGGTATGATATGATACAGTATGATATGATACGGTATGATATGATACTGTATGATATGATACGGTATGATATGATACGGTATGATATGGTATGATATGATACAGCATGATATGATACGGTATGTTATGAAACGGTATGATATAATACAGTATGATATGATACGGTATGATTTGATACGGTATGATATGATACGGTATGATATGGTACGGTGTAATATGATACGGTATGTTATGATATGGTATGATATGATACAGTGTAATATGAAACGGTATAATATGATATGATATGGTATGGTATGGTATGATACGATATGATATGGTACAGTATGATATGATACGGTATAATATGATATGATATGGTATAATATGGTATGATATGATATGATATGGTTTGATATGATACAGTATGATATGATATAGTATGATATGATACATTATGATATGATACGGTATGATATGGTACAGTATGATATGATACGGTATGATATGATAAGGAATGACATGACATAGTATGATATGATACAGTATAATATGATACAGTATGATTTGATACGGTATGATATGATACGATATGCTATGATACAGTATGATATGATACGGTATGATATGATACAGAATGATATGATATTGTCTGATATGATACGGTCAGATATGATTTCTTTAAAAAGAAGCATGCGAGAGGTCTTTTTGCAGCTGTTGAAGATTTGTTTTTGTTTTCGAAATGTTGGAGATATTTGCATAAAGGCACCAGAGATATTCCAAAACGGGCATAAAGTATGTCAATCAAACGATTCTAAGTTCCAGTTTTACTTTAAAAATGTAAATATCATTTCATTGGAAGAAACTATAGTTACGGCTGCATGCCTCCAACCACAAAATTTCAAAAAAATCAAACTTGAGAAAATGTGTGCCATTTGCGCCAAAAAATCTCCGTTGCGTAATTTAGTCATACCGGTTCAAAAGTTTAAGAAGCAACAAGGTTCACTCGGTCTTATAATACTGTATGGTGATATTGTAGCTATTTAATGTTCACTGTTACTATTTTTTGAGAACATTAAATAGAAACACGTTATTAAGAAAAAAGTAATCGATTTATACAGTTTAAAGGATTAAAAACGGTATGAACCATTGCTCTTAGTGTTAAGTAACGTAAATGATATTTTCCGATATTTCCTTGTACCGATTTGTTCATGCGCAAAACAATTATTGTTATTCTAAAGGTTTTAGGCTTAAAATGTCACGCATTAGCTTCAATTTGATAGGCAAAAATGGATGCCGTCAGCAATTATTCTCAACACTGTGGAGAGGTCTGATTACGTCTCCATATATGGTAACTATGATATGATATAATATGATATATCCAATATGATATGATATGATATGATATGATATGGTATGGTATGTGGTATGGTATGGTATGGTATGGTATGGTATATGGTACGGTATGGTATGGTATGGTATGGTATGGTATGATATTATATGATATGGTATAATATGATATGATATGGTATGGTATGGTATGATATGGTATGATATAATATGGTATGATATGGGTATGATATGATATGGTATGATATGATATGGTATGAAATGGTATGGTATGGTTATATATCATGCAATGGTTTATACTACTAGTATGTTATGATATGAGACATGAGATTTGATACATACGGTAAGTCTAAAATAAATAAACATTCTACAGTGAGATATCATCTTTATGTTGTTTCCTTTTTAGAAAGAGTTTTGCCCGCAGTTGACAGATTCACGAGGGGTTCATTATGTACATGCTGGAATTTTGACCTCTGTGCTCTTTCACGGAAGACACCTCCAACCGGTATAAAATTATTAAAATTTTAGTGTCTATTTAAAAGAAAAAAAACAACGAAAACAACGGCTACGATAACAGAACAGTCTTAAAACAACACTACCATAATAAAAATAGTAAAATAAAATCGCAACTTAGAACTAACTAAACTACTTGATAATAGTTTAAGTATTTTCCATGAAGACAATTCCAACTTTGCAATACACATGAGTATAGAAAAAATGCAAACATAGCCTTTAAAATGATAAATGATAAACGTGCTGTATAACCAATAATCTATGAAGTCACACGTTTATTTGTTGAAATAATTTTAGCCGGGCTCTGGCAACAAGTACTATTACACATGTACGATGTCTGACTTGGCGTCCTCCAAAGCTATGATCGTGAACAACTCCTCCATCACCTGTAGCGTCATTGTAAGTCTACCTGTTTTTGTATTTGTGTTCATAGATTCTCGCCACCGGTTGCCCAAATGTTCGAGCCCTCCAGAAGAGTATTAGTCCTTTAAGATTGTGGAGGATAGTACATGATACAGAAAGAGTAAAGAAGCTTCTCCTGGTTTTTTTGCGTGCCAGGCGTTAAAGCACTCATACACAGGACCTCTATTTATAGTCTCGACGAAAGACTGTGTAGTGTTTTTAGTGCAAGCCGGAGAATCGAACTCACAATGTCGAGATTACAAGTTTCGCACCCTTACCGATTGAGCTATGCCTGTTGGTTATGTTAACACTGCATTTTTTTTTATACTTTTGGCTTCTTCATTCAGACTTAGAACATCCTGTAATTTCCGGAAGTAATGCCTAAGTTGCGAAAGGAAATATTTTTAGGTATGAGTGGTTTTAATGTGTTTCATATATCAAAATAATAGTTAACTATAGGTACCTTTGATGTATATAGTTGGCTTGCAGCCACGGCTGCAAGCCATCTGTTTTGGAAAAGCTGTTCCGGTTAGGTGGTTTCCTGCGCATGATTAAATGGGAAACCAGCTGCCATCGTGCCAATCGCAACTTTTTGACCCTTTCCGTCACTCTTCGGTTTAATGATAATAGCCGATGTAGTTCCGATTGCAATCGTGACAATTCGGGCGATTCCGTCATACTGCGGAATCAGACGAAGTAATATTACGGAAATCTAAGCTATTTTAGTTACTTCGGTAATCCCAGTTTGTTTATATAAATAGGATTTCTATTTTTACTTGATTTATCGGTTTAAACCGTAATAAATTATAAACGAAATCGTCGGTCAAGACGCAAAAGTTAGTTTCTTTTGTAATTGTTCCCTGCGGTCTGGAGACCGCAGGGTATTGGTATGCGTTTAACTTTTGAGGCATGGAGGAGCACGTGACCTGTTTTTCGGTACATGGAGGAGCATGTGATCTGTAAACCGTACATGATTGGATAATTGACCTTTTCGAAAACCTGGCTAAATACCGTTTGCCGGTACCTTACGGATTTACATCTAGGGAATTAGTCAGAATAACACCTATAATTAAGAACAAAAAAGTATTACGTGATATTTCTAATTTTCTATTATCATTTTATCATTTAAGGTGGAAATCTTGAATGATGTGAAAATTATCAATATTTCTTTAATATGTATCTCAAATTTTACAAACAATAAATTGTTTATACTTAAAATCTACAAAATTAAAATATTCGTAGTGGCATCTGCCATTATAAATAGAGATATTTTCTGCGTAAACTTGTGTGTTTACTTTTTTTTTTTTGCTCGGAATATTTCATAAAATGGTAGGCCTATTTAATCATTTCCTTAAAAAGAAATAATTGTTTTATGTTCAACCTTCTCCGGTCATCAACGGTCGCCAGTTTCCAAAGACCTTCTTCTATATTGATCGATTATTGTCAACTATATTCCTGATACAAACGTTTATTTATTCCCCCCCCCCAAAAAAAAAAAAAATGTTGAAAATAGTTAAATGAAATATCTTTATCTCATTAAAAATGTTCCCCGCAGGAAACTATTTTACTTGTTTTTGTCTGTATTAGTTTTATACAATAGAGAATGGTTACTGTAGTAGTATTCCGTCTCGCTTACCAAATCACGTGCATGATCGAGTTATATTTAGATCTAATGAACGCAGTGAGGTAATCTAAAAATAGCCCATGCATATCATTAACCTTACCACGTGCTGATCTGTATCTGTGGTCGTGTAACATAGTTGATACATGCTTATTAATTGGTACCACGTAACGAAGTATTTTAGTGCATTTACTTGTCCATAAAGATGCTATATAAATGAAATTAGCAACTGCCAAAACGAATGATTTCTCTGCGAAAAAAGTGGAAATGAAATGTGCTCAGTATGATAGATAGATCTCCACGTTTGTATTTTTACGATTGATTATTTTCTTTATTAGTTTTATACAATAGAGAATAGATTTCAAATCGTTTTGAAAAAAAATATTCGTTTTTACAAAAATACTAAATAAGCCCTTTATGATATACAAATACCGTAATTCAAAAAAATTGTGATAATAAATTGAAACAAAAAAAAAAAACAATTTTAAAGGGTTGGGATGAAGGCACAAATGCGCAAGCCTTTCCTTTTAAAAGGAAACTTTATTAATGATGTTGATTATGACTTCGTGTTTCTTGATTTAGAATATTGTTCAGCATAATCTTTCATAATTACAGTAGTTATATGTTTATTGTTTATTACCTTATTGATATGTCTCTTTTGCTCGTCATTATTTTGATACAGTTAATTTCCAAGATTGTTATATATTTGTGGAAAGGAAACACATTGCGTTACTTTTTAGCTTTTTCTTTAATACAATTACAGTTAGATTCTTCATGTTATTATCCTAAAATATGAACAATTGACGCTAAACAAGCTTTATGTGATGGAAATATGTAAATTTTACTTTAGGTGCCCCAGTTGTCGGATAAACAACTTCAGAACGAAACAATTAAAGTTTATTACAGTTTTAATCAAACGAGAACTTCCGTGCTGGAGGATGAGTATGAAAATTACGGTATTTTTATAATTCTGTATTTCTATATTAGTGGTATCAAAGTTAAAAATAACAACATTCACCTAAGTTGAGTATTTTATTACATGTTGAATTATATTTTTTAAACCCATCTCAAATAAGTTGTAAATTGTTTGTATGAGTAAAGTTTTGGTTAAGATTTACGAAAATAAAACTTATTTTGTTGTAAAGTCGTGTAGTCGATAGGAGTAGGAGTCAGAAATTCATTCCACACCCCAAAACTCTGTGCCATAATTAATATACATGTATTAGCAATAAAAAAATAACGACCAATCTGTGTGAGTAGATATTGCGACTATACAATAAGAAATCTGGACATTCATACAATTTCAGTCACAGTTTACAATTGTACAATGTTGGCCAGGGACTGTAGTCATTGTCTAGCACTAAACAAATCACGATTTGACTGTGCTTGGTGTACAGAAACCAACCGGTGCGAGCATAGAGATTTAACTTGCTCCACGACAACATGCCCGGCACCTACTATAACAGATGTAGGTGTCATTTTTTAGCCATCTTTCTTTTTAAAAAACGTATATTATGCCGAATTTTTTATCATTATTTTTTAATTGCTCATCGTAATTCTGATACAGTTAATTTCCAAGGTTGTTATATATTTGTGGTAAGGAAACACATTGCGTTACTTTTTTTTCTTTAATTTTCCATTACTGTATATGGAAGCTTTTAAACATTGGCCGAGTAAATGCCTTCATTAAATTTCTGTCGTTTTATTGACTAATTATTTTTTCTCATTTGATATAGAATTACGTCCTATTTTGATATATAAAGGTATACATTGTTACTAATTAATAGACAGAATTATCAATCTTTAAAGGTGGTTCCAAGAGATGGTCCAGTGACAGGAAATACTACCATAACAATTAATGGATATGATTTGGGCTCCGACCTCTCGGATATCAACATTGTTAAAGTCGCGGAAATCCCGTGCATTATAACCGATGATATATCACAATTAAATGTCACCGACTACGGAAACTTCGAAACAAGAGCTCCAAATCGGTAAAATAGCCTACTTAAAATTTATTGCATGATACTGCTTTCGCCAACCTTTTAAAGTTCTGCCTACCCATTACCATATTAATTATATGTCAACGATGATTGAAACTTCTAAACAAGAGCTATAGCCGAACCCAATCGCTTGATAGTATTTAAAATTTATTGAATGATCCTTTTAAAGCTCCACCCACCCATTGCCATATTTTGCCTATCTACCTTGACTATTTTTAAAATCCAATTTACCTCCCGTCGAGCGATTCCCTTTTTTATTGTTTTCTAATTTTTCCTTCTTTTCGTTTATTGAAAAAAATGCTTTTGAGTAAATCCGAGACAATATCTCAATATGTATATATTTCTTTTAGCCCGAGCTCTCATGTATATCTCAGTTTATTATTTTGTAGTATTTAGCCATTACTTTTAGCAGAGAGGAAAAACACGCGGATGTATTGCCTCTCAATTAAAATTCCAAGTGCAAGTTTTACTTCATATTTCAGAATTATTTGTATGACAGGATCTTCCCTGAACGAAACATCGGGGACAGTCAACATTTCAGTAAATGGACACGTTTCCAACTCGGATGTTATATTTTCTTACCAAGTAAATATATTATATAGAGGATATTTGTTTAGTTCAGTGTAAGATCGTAATATATTTCACCGAGTGAGCACCAAAAGGTATATTTCACGAGTGGCGCAGCCACGAGTGAAATATGAACTTTTGGTGTTCACAAGGTGAAATATATTTCGATCTTATACTAAACTAAACAAATTTTCTTTTTATTGTATGCAAAGAAACGTTTTAAAAAGACATTAAACCTAATACTGAATGAAAAGCGCGCCAAATAAAAATACAACGTGACGTCATTTACGACGTCACGTCATTAAGTTGGTACCCAGTACTGTGCACGCTGGTATTTCACTGAAACAACGTAAGGGGCTTAAATTCATAACAGTGAAATTATCAAAGTGGTAATTTCACTGTTTCAAACAGTGAAATTACCAGTTTTATATCACTGATATATTTCTATAAACCACCGAAAAGCATGTAATAAATCATTTTACTAAATTATTCTTGCAAATATGTATCTTTTCATTTATCGTGATTTTCAAAATGAACGAGAGAAAAACACACGCACACTCACATACAACAACAACAACAGCAACAAACAACAACAACAACAACAACAACAACAACAAACAACAACAACAACAACAAAAACACTGCATGTTTATCTTTCTTGCAATCAATTCGTTCTTTGTACAACATTAATTTGCTTGGCTCATTATTTTCATATTAGAAATGGGTGCATCAACTATACAGTATAGCTATATTTTTGAGAAAATATAATAAAACTAAACAGCAATATAGGGACCGCTAAATCTATGCCAATGGCACATTTTCTGCTTTACATTCTTTTAATGAAAAGTTCAAAAAATTATTAACCACTCTTGTGAAATACCACTTCGTAGGTTCCAATTGTGACGGACATTGTTCCACATTACGGACCGGAAGCGGGTGGAACGCGCATGACAATTTACGGCGAGAATCTAGGGATTGGAAATAGAAACGTACGAGTTTATCTTGAAAACAAACCTTGTTTAAGGCCTGAAATGAGTCCCAAACTGCCTTTAGGAAATGTGTAAGTATTTTAGATGTTCATACATCGCAAAATGCTTTGAAGTAAAAAAACTCTGTTCAAGAATTTACAAGTTCTTGAGACACATGCGTCATTGATATTGTGAAAATGAATGCAAATTGTTCGCTAAAGGCAATTAATCGGAGATTTTATAAAGGTGCAGTGCATTCTTAATTTTGCCACTAAAACACCATTGATAAAGTATAATTAACTTGACCTAGCACATAGAAACCTATTATTTCTTTTAAAAATAATGATCAGAAGCTTGTTAATTGTTTAATTGTTAAAGCATTATTTTTCAGATCTCCAACCAACTTTACGATAATTTGCACGGTTGATAATGGTTACACTAGTAATATCACCATGGTAACTATAACCATTGATGACGTCATCGTTGTGGCTAAAGAACCAGTGTCGTTCACATTCGTCGGTGATCCAAAGCTTAACCCATTATCGCCTAAGAAGGCTTTCTTTAGGTACGCTGACTCAAAGTGCAGACCAAGATCAACTTGCACAATCATGACACCCCGATAGAGACTTTGGACTCTTTCATTTGAGGAAGCTATCCAGCTGGCTCACTGAACGTTGGCGATTCACAAGTTCCAGGCACCCGTACTAGTCTGAAATAATGCATGAAAGGGTGCCTGAGGTATTCCCCCACCATTAAAGCTGGAAAGTCTATACTGTGTTGGTGCGACGTAAACCCCAACAAGATAAAAAAACAAAAACATAAAAAGCATGCCCTATAATCATGGTCTGCACTGTTCGCTTTTCAGTCATTTGTATTTTAGAATTGTCCCTGAAAATTGACAGTTTTGCCCAGATTGAAAGATGGACATGTCCTTTTCAGATATTTATCGTGGTAAGGGTTAAGATTCTTGATAATTTTGGTTAAGGTATCTTCATTTCGGCTGCAACAGGAGCATACTTGTTAGGACTTAAGATTTGAAATGTCTTTAGGCATATGGTATAACCCTGTTATTTCGCAAACAGTGAAACATGTTCATAAGCAACACAAAGTAAATGATAAACGATAAATGTATTAAAAGCACCGCTGTAAAATGAATTTCAAACATAATCTCAAATCAGTTAACATCTTAGTGACTATATAAGAGTTTCTGGTTGTAAAATAATTGTGAAGTTCCGCACTTAGATACACATAACATAACATATGTTACTGGTTTCCCTTTTTTCAGTGGAGGAACCAAAATCACAATCGAGGGGAAACAGTTGGACAACGCTCATAATGCCAGAATAGAGTTAAATTACGGACAGGACTTGGAGGTAAAAATAGATTTTATGAACGTTGATATTTCCCAAACATGAAGAGCAAACATTAGCCTTTTTCTTCTGGTTTAGTTTTTTGGTATTAGAGAGTATTGTATGCAATATACCAACATGCAAAGCAGAAAATGTCTTTCATTTTTATAGTTTTTAACATTATATCCTTTTTAATACCCCAGCTTATGTGTGTTACAGATTGGTGACTGCACGATACTGTCGGAACGTCTGACAACTTGCAAAGTCCCGAGAGCGCCTGAATTCTTACAGGACCAGTTATTGAAATCTGAGAATACAACTGTCAAGTTCTCAAAATTTGTCAGAGTTGTGTGTGTGGTTTATTTTGATAATGTTCACGAAAACTTCGAAATATCTTACTATCTTGATCCAACAATAAACGACTTAACCGGAAGTGGCCGTGTCGTAGAATTTGAAGCAGACGACAGGCGCCTGGAAATCAGTGTACGTATTCTCTAAAAATATTTGTTTTATCTTGTGCTCTTTTTATTATTTTTTCTTTTATTAAAATCAAAAGCACATGAAAGTAAGTTCCAATTTGACCCCATTAAGTTTTATCGGCATGATATTTTGTTTTTAAAACACGATTTTAAGAACTCCATAGTAACAATCATATTAGAAACACTTTACCTAACGCCAAAGTAGGCTAACAAATGTTGAAGTATTTGACCTAACGCCAAAGTAGGCTAACACATTTTGAAGTATTTGACCAAACGCCGTAGTAGGCTAACACATTTTGAAGTATTTGACTTGACGCCATAGTAACAACCACAGTTTGAAATCTTCTGCCTAACACCATAGTATGAGTAACATCTGAAAAAAATTTACCTAACGCCATAGTAACACTCACATTTTGATACATTCTACCTAGGAAACGGACAAAAGCCCTCCCGTCCAAAAATGACTCTACCTAACGCCGCCATAGTAACTGTCGCATTTTGAAATATTTTGGCGCTCGGCATTGCCAAAGTCAATATCAAAACGCATGGCCGGTATCATTTTATTTTTCAGGGTAAAATGCTGAATAACGTAGCAACACTTTTTGATATCCAGTAACGGTCGGTGTTGAATCATGTGTCATAGTGGAACTGACCTCGTCATACATAACGTGCATTGCTCCGAAATACGAACCAAAGAGCGGAATGCCAAATGCCGGACGCCCCGAGGTCAACGTAAGGAACGAATCATTCACTAAGGCTCTTTTACAAAAGATATATGTTGTAAAAACATTTCAAGTCTCGAATTGAACGTTGATACTTTAAGATTAGTCATACCTAAGTAATGATATAAATGAATGTAGTTCAAAATTTTGATTTGCAAGAACTCTGGACGAGCTGAATCATAGAACTATATTTTTGGTCTAGGAACGCCAAGTCAGAATTTGGCTGACTGCACAACATACTAAATTAGACAAAAGTCTGATCCGCCCCTAATACATGTATACAATACAGAGCTGTGTGGTTTGTCATTCAGAAAACTTTGCTTAACCGGAAGTAAATGAAACATTAAGACTGGTGGAGTCAGATATAAATCAGATATAACCACATACGCCTGAGTGAAGTGAAGCAGATTATGAAAGATTAAATGCGTCAAGGGTGTTCCATAGGTTCCGAACATCAAGATTTCAGTTTCCTACCTTTGATCGACTTCCCTGGTTCAGGTTGTCATTCGTTTTTCAAGAGTTCATTTATTTTTTCAATTTTATTAAAATCTAATATAAAATGTAAAAACCATTATGATATAAATACAACCTTATTATTTGTAGGTGACCATTGGAAACATAAAACGGATGATTGGCTATGTCGACTACAAAACAAAGTCGGGTTGGATAAGCAGTCCTTTGGTGATGCTGTCGGCGGCGGGAGCGGGTGCTGTGCTCATTTTGGTCATTTCAATGGGTAATAATTGAGCCGTGCCATGACAAAACCAACATAATTCGCGCAGTCTGATCAGGATCCATGCTGTTCGCTTACCAACCCTATTACAAGTAGAGAAACTGATAGCGAACAGCACGGATCCTGATCAGACTTCGCGGATGCGCAGGCTGGTCTGGATCCATGCTGGTCGCAAACCCATTATGTTGGTTTTGTCGTGACGCGGCGACAATGTCGGGTGTTTGGAAGAGTCATCTACAATCCTCGATCTAACTGCATATATAGTGTACTGTTTTTTCTCAAGAGTTTGAGGCATCTCGTATAGGATTCGAACTCGAAAAGGAAATTACATGTATTTAAAAATTTAAAGCCAAGGTCTCAGACAATCCCCATGCTGACTCATTTTGTTAACGCTTGTTTCAAACACCCATACTTTGATATCAAGTTTGATTATATACTTTTATTTCATACACTTACATATATATTTATCTATATGGTCATTGCAAAATTGCAACACTTTACAATTTTGCCCCTAATTTTTCAGGTTAGATTATGTTGAGGCTGCGTTTGTGACGTCACACTCCCCCTTGTCGATCTTTTCTCTCATACATTGTATATTGATAAAGCATATAAGAGGTCTTAAGATTTGGTAGATCAATATTTGTATAAGATGCAACTCTGTCATGTTACACTTTTCATCTTTTTTTCACAGCTTCTATTTTGATATGTCGAAAATATAGACAAATGAAGTTCAGGTTAAGAACTCTTGTGAATCAGGACAACGTGAAAGAAGAAGACGCTGGTGTCATACGATTTAGCAGGTAAACATTAAAATGACAACGAAGATTTGAAGACTTTTCTTGTCTTCGCCTTCGACTTTTGCGGGCGCTGACACGAAGACACGATAGATTTTAGATGAAATAACGATATTTTTATAGGGATGGCACGAAATCTTCAGTATCGGCGGGAAGAAATCTTCGTATTAGCGCCCTAAAGTTATGTCTTCGCCTTTTGACGTCGTGTCTTCGTCTCACACGATAATTGGCCAATCTATCGTGTCTTCGACTTTCGGGGAGAAGACGTGAAGGCATAAAATGGCAAAAATAAGCCCCCATACAATTTTCGACTTTTGATACCGGAATCCCTGAATTTATTAATGTGCAGTACATATTTCAAAGCAGGTTAAGACTAATATATAAAATTCACCTATTTATTTAATTATATAGCAAACATTTGAAAACTTTACTTTTAAATAGGGAACATTTTAGGAAGCAGTCTGCGTCATGTGCGTATGTGCGTAAAACGAACTAACAAAATGCAATTAGGTCTTCAATGTATTCGGATTATATTAAATTGCCTTCGTTTTTTTTTCTGGACATTATTTGATGGATTTTATTAGTGACATTATGCTCATTTTTTACTTGTCAAGTTGAGTTGTATATTATAATGGTGAATGACCAATAACTGATAATAAAAAATGTGTATTATGCAATTTAAAAACTACCTTGATTATAAAAAGACTGTTCCACTCTTTTTAAGAATTGAACGTTAGCGATACATTCTGAATGGTATTTATGAAAGTTCTGTTAGTCACATGGATTTTTGATTACTTTTTTCACATTGAACACAATTATGGAAAAATGCCAAGATATTTTTATTCTAACATGTCTACTTAGATGGGCATGTCACTTTAACCGTGTATATATATGTTTGATGTATATTATTCACAGGCTTGCGGGTAAGTCGGACGAGGTGGGTTACTCTGACCTGTACAGTGACATAAGTGATCGCTATGACTCTGCCCTCTATAACACAATCACTGCAGACGACTTCTCAAGAGAAAGAACCGGAACCGGAACCAGAAACAATTCACAGCATTGTCCTTGTGAGCGCATACCGGAAGTGGACACTTTGACAAGACAAGTATCCCAGAATACTTTGCGACCTAAAAACAAGATTACATTAGAAATTCAGCTAGAAGGTACAACAGCGACGAGTGTTGAGCTAATACCAAAGGGCGGAGACGATCAGTCATACCTACATGCTATTACCAACAGTTATCTTTCCTGCTAACTTTAGAAAAATAAAAGCATGTGGACAATAGAGCTAGAAATATTTGGACAGTATGTCATTGACAAAGACTTGTTTGTTTTCACACTTCCTTATTTAGAACAATCTGTTCAGACTAGATTCATTTCCTTCGCTGACAAATATGTAAATTACTCATACATTATAAAGTACATCATGTTTATACTCATGTATATATGACTAAACAATCTTTATATACAGTCATTGTCGTTAAATACATTTATAACCATGTTCATGTGTCAAATCAGAACATTGTTTTTTGTGTCTTTGTTTGTTTTTAAATACATTGTACATGTAGCGTCCATTGTCTAAAGTTTAACGTTTGTACTGATTGCACATTTTGTATAGTCTTAGTGGGCTACCTAGTAGGTCATCAAACTTGTCTAATTTTTCATTGCGGCATTTGCATTTTTACTTTTGCTTATTTAGTTGTTACGTCGTCACATTACTTTTCTTTTGCAGCTTTTGAACAATCGGCGCATCATTTGTAAAGTAGCGCTTTGCTTTTGGAAATGTGCAGATATGTTGATTACATCCATTAATTATGAAAAAAGAAGAAAAAAAGAAGTAAAAAAAATGCATTGTTAAATAGATCAACAATATTAGCATTATGATGTTATTTCTTTTGTTGTCATTCATTTTCTCGTGTATACATGACATCTTTTGGTTACATGGTATAAATCTTCAAAAACAAGCCAGGTGTTATTATTTTATGATATGTTAAATTGTTAATATATCTAATTATATACGTTACTGCATAATTCAAGCAAACTAGATGCTCTTATTGCATATTACTTGTTCTATAAACGCTTCTTTATTCTAGGATTTGTGTAACATAGGGGGTAACAACTTTTCAGCAAGGGCTTACGGCATACTCGGGCCAGAGGGTGTTTGGCATTTAAAAAATCAAAGTGAAAGTGGTGGTGATGAGCCATAGTTTTGCTCGATTTTCACTTAAAAATCCCGAAATTCATTATTCATATATTGATAATTATCTATTCCATAAAATTTCCAACCTCCAACACCAACGTTTTGACGGGTTAAACCAATCTTTATCAAGATAAAGAGGGTTTTAAACCCCTCGAAACGATAATTATAAATTAATTTGTTTCCAGAGTGATTTGATCATATATTGATGTTATATTAATTAAATGCCGCCTACCCCACTCTTTCTTGATCCGCGCATACAAACCACAACATTGAACCTGGCAGTGCAAAAATAACGTATATTAAACATACCCCATCCGTTTTCCTACACACTTCCGCTGGTGTCGGTATTTCGTTTGGCTGTTGCTCACATTGTAAGATGGTCGGAGATATAGGAACACAGAAAAAACACGTACATTGTTTTAAAATTCATACACGGCATAGGTTTGGGGAAAATAGAATGAAGTGGTGGTGGAGATTGATAATGGAATATTTCTATGTACCATTTGAATGCAAAAAGATAAATTCTTACTATGCTCGGTATACGTAAATGAAAATACGACAGTCTGACCTAAAAATATCTGCTGTTTAATGACATAACCATGTAAATTAAAGTTGTACCAAAATCCGGATTATCAAAATAAGCCTAAAGTACGTAAATAGACATTTTAAAGAATTGCTAATCCTTCCATTATATTCACCGTGTGAAGTCTAATATAAATATTAATTACTTCTTAATGGGTGTTCTTTTAATCCAGCCTGCAATACATATGTATATTTTGTATACATGTATAATTATAATGCAACTTGTCATAAAAGGTTTAAGTGGGGTTGTTTCACATGTCACGTGGTCAGTATTGTAACATGGAAATTGGATGTTTTAAGTGTTAAAATTAATTGAGAAACTAACAAGCATGAAATATTTCTTAAATCTGTAGCATAATTTGTGACTTCTTGGATACTCGCATTTAAAAACAGCGTATGTCAGTTCAGTGATCAGCAGAAAATATCGTTGAAAAGGGGGTTATCCTCTTTGAAGTCATTTTGCAAACATTTGGTTGGCTACCCCTATATAAGATCATTTTTATGCATCAGGCATTTCATTGTGCTAGAAAAGTCGCCTCTTTAATTAGTATGAAAACTCGTTTTAAAGGTAGAATTAGGTTTTTAAAAGCCAATGGGAAAATCAATTATGAGAGCCTGGCCTCAATGCATGTAGGCTATCAGTTTTTGAAGAAACATTAGGTCCGATTAACAAGGATTTGTTTTTGTTGTTGATGTTGTTGTTTAGATAAACAAGTACATTCAATGCGTTTGTAAACAATAGACTATTTCAGGCATAAATCTCATTGTGATGTATATGAGCAAAATTGAGAAAATTATAATACATTGTAGCTAGTAACATCGGCCTATAAAAGTTCGTGTTTACTATTCTTCACTCTATATTAGTGCTTGAACACACGAAGATTCACATTCAGAACGCGCTGTCAGATAATTACAAAATGTATAAATAATGTTAGGGCGGAAAAATGAAATCCTCAATACCATGATCACTACCATGTTAAACAACGAGCCTAATTCCGCGGGGCGGGGCACACACGTTCGACTTTTTACTTTTCTTTATATAATGTAAGACATCAGCACGGCTTTGAACGGATATGGGTTATCGTCTGTGGCCGTTTTTTCATATTCCTTTTCGGGGCGGACATTCTCCTTTCTGCCCTCTAATAGTAAAATTTTAGTTTGTCTGTCATTAGTCGACTATTTTTAGTTTTGAGTAATGAATCATGATCTTATAATGATACTTGTGTGAATACTATCATTATCGTTGAAATTCCTATCTCGGTAGATTCAACTGAAAAATTATACAGTACTTTATCAGAGTTGCTTGCACTTTTGAAAACTTGTAGCTAATACTTTCTAATTTTATATAAGGAGTGTTTGATCGAGTAATTACCGTATGTTTAGTTATTAAATAAAGCAATTTGTGCTTCAATCCTATTTCAGTTTAAATCTAGCTGTTTGATGACTAGTAAAATGTGTTCATTTGTTTCAGTTTTGTTGCACGTTGTACTCGTGTTCAAGACAGGACTGCTATCTATAACTAACACTACACAGCATCTATTCACACGAAGACGCACCATGGCCACAAACTGATTTTCGGTCAAGTGCAGTCATAATAGTTGAAATTCATAGCAATATTTTTACTATATACAGGTACAGAGTGTACTTATAGAAAATGTGTATATCAGTAATTTAACCTTCAAGGTCAAGGTCATTAAAGAGCCCAAGCAAATTTGGGTTTGATAAACAACAAGGTCTGGTCTTATAGAATGTTCTTGTTATAATATGTAGTTGATCCTTTCAAAAATAGCAAAGTTACAGTCAGTTACCGCCAAAACAATGAAATTTCAAATAATTTGACCTTCAAAGACAATGTCATTAATGAGTGAAGGTCAAGGTTTTCGGTATATTTTTAACAGTTATCGCTTGAAGATTATTATGTTCAAGTTTCAAGACAATCCGTTCAAAAATAACAAAGTTACAGCCAATAATAGCCGCAAAAATGAATATTTTCAATAATTTGACCTTCAAAGTCAAGGTCATTTATGAGTGAAGGTCAAGGTCTGTCTGGTTTTTTAAGGGATATCCCTGAAGATAATTATGTTCAAGTTTGAAGACAATCCATTCAAAAATAACAAAGTTACAGCCAATAATAGCCAAAAAAATGAATATTTCAATAATTTGACCTTCAAAGTCAAGGTCATTTATGAGTAAAGGTCAAGGTATGTCTGGTTATTTTTAAGGGATATCCTTGAAGATTATTATGTTCAAGTTTGAAGACACTCCATTCAAAAATAACAAAGTTACAGCCAATAACAGCATGAACAAGCAAAAATTGGACTTTTAACCTTGAAGGTCAAGGTAATTTATGGATGAAGGTCAAGGTTATTGTGGTCTACTGAAAGGTCTTGTCCCAAGGGTTGCTGGGCCAAGTATGAAGACAATACACCAAAAAATAAAAACGTTATGATCCAGGAACAAGTTTGCGGACGGCAACGGCAACGGCAACGGCTACGGCAACGGCAACGCCGCCGCGACTATAACAATACCTCTACTTTTTTTTTCAAAAAAAAAAAGTCGAGCTAAAAAAGTATTATCTTCCTTTGCATTGAATACTAGTATCCGTTAAACACAACGCTACAAAATCATGACAAGTAAAATGGTTTCCTGCGGGGAATATTTTTGATGATATAAAGATATTTCATTTAAGTATCTTCAACATTGTTTGGGTGGGTGGATAAATAAACGTTTGTATCAGGAATATAGTTGACAATAATCGATAAATATAGAAGAAGGTCTTTGAAACCTGGTGACCGTTAATGACTCTGGAGAAGGTCGAACATAAAACAATTATTTTTTTTTTAAGAAAATGATTAAATAGGCCTACCATTTTATGAATATTCCGAGCAACGAGCAAAAAAAAAAAAAAAAAAAAAAAAAAAAAAAAAAAAAAAAAAAAAAAAAAAAAAAAGCAAACACACAAGTTTTTCGCAGAAAACAATCTCTATTTATTATGGCAGATGCATGCCACTACGAATATTTTAATTTTGTAGATTTTCAGTATAAACAATTTATTGTTTGTAACATTTTTGGAGATACATATTAAAGAAACATTGATAATTTTCAAACACATCATTCCAGTTTTTCCACCTTAAACGGTATTATAATTATAAGAAAATTAAAAATATCACGTAATAGGTGTAATTCTGACTTATTCCCTAGAGGATTATCCGTAACGTACCGGCAAACGGTATTTAGCCAGGTTTTCGAAAAGGTCAATTAACCAATAATGTACGGTTTACAGATCACATGCTCCTCCATGTAACCGAAAACAGGTCACGTGCTCCTCCATGCCTCAAAAGTTAAACGCGTACCAATACCCTGCGGTCTCCAGACCGCAGTAAATAATGAACATCTAGTGCATTTCGCCATCTAGGACTGGCATTTAAGAAACTAAAACCTTAAAATGTCGGCTGATCAATTACAGTAATATATCTTAAACACTTTGATGTTTGAATTTCAAAGTTTGGCAAACCTTACCAGGATAATATATCTAAGATTAATCATTTATAGGGAAAATTGCAAGACATGTAACACTTGATATGGTTAACCGAATTGTACATCGGTTAAAAAGATATGTTGGTTTCCGGTAATACATAATTATGTTGGTTAAACTCCCATATGAGGACGTCATTTTTAAAAGTGTTATATGGTGGTAAGGGAGGACGAGTTTGATTCGGACATGACCACGACGTTGGCCGTGTGTCTGTGTCAGATACTTATATCTCAGTTTAACAACAATATTTTCCCCGCAGAAATTGACGAGGAGTAAGTGTGAATGTATTATCACCAACATATTTATACATGTCCATTTAGAGGAATGATTTTAACTCTCTTTTTTTTTAAACGCAATCCGACTAGTTTAAAGTCAGGCCAGTCTACATATCAGTGCAGTTTTGCGATTCTTTTGCACTGTTGAACTGCTTTTTTCAAGCCTTTTAATAAAGAACCCCTTTTAACACTATAGGGCTGTCATTGATTGAAAATTTTATAAAGATGTATCGCAAGCTGAATTTAGACAATATATCAAATTTAATAGCTTGTACATTTTAATATATGTAATAAACTGTTATCTTGATGGAAGCAAGCATGTTTAATACATAAGAAACACAGAATACCAAATAAAAGTATGTTTTCTTCATATTATATCTTAAAGACTTCAAGAAATAAAATCTGTTAACTAGCAAGAAAAAGGGAGATAAGTGACTTTTTTCCCCTTTAAGAAAAGTAGAGTAATATTTTCACAAGAATGAAAGAAATTGGTTTAAAACCAACATTCTTCTTTGTGAATCATTATTGTAAACGAAATGAGCCGCGTCATGACAAAACCAACATAGTGCGTTTGCGACCAGCATTACATTGGTTTTGTCATGGCGCGGCTCAAATAATTGTTATTAATAACTATGTTTTGATCTATTTTATGTCTAGGTCTCTGGAAGAATCAATAGGTACCCCACTGTTTGTCATGCTAAGGTAATTTATTGAACAACTTTTTTTTTATGCCTGCTGATCAATAGTTTGGAAGAGCATATTAGGGATTTTCTCTCTTTATTGGGCCAAGGCGTTAGGCTCTTGATTTTGGGGAAAATTATCATTGAAATTGCTATTTTGGGAAAGTAAAAACCTGGGGTAAGTTATAAATCTTTTGGAAATCTGCATGAATTTAAAGGAAATTTTAATTGAGAAAAGGCCTTTTACACTGTAAAAAGCCCTGCATACTATTTTTTGTTGTTTGAAGTAAATGATGGCTCGGCTATATTGCCAAAGACTAGCTTTTTGGAAATTGTCAGAGGATATCAAAAATAATTTTTTTTTTAGAAATGAACTTTATCATTAAGGCTTAATGGGCTTTTAAGAAATGAGTCTGATAGACCTAAGAAAGATAACTCGTGTAGGCTTGTTTCATTTAGTATTCAGCACAAGCTTTCAGGAGTTATTTCCCTTGAATGCAAATTAGTTTTTTCCAGAGTTCAATCATTGTTTAAGTAGTTTTCCTTGGATATTATGTAGTGTTTATATCAGTTTTGTCAATGGTGTTGATGTCCTTGTCATGAAATACTCGAGTACTTTTACCCTGGTCAGTTAACTCGGTACGCGGATATGTCTGGTGTCTGCCTTTAGGTTCACGTGTTTGTTTTGTGTTTTTCTGTCTGAAACATTTATTATTCTCTACTGCGTTTCAAAAGATTTATATAAAAAGGTGACTAATGGCCCAAACAAAAACAAAATCAACATTAAAATTACAAAACAACCCCAGGTTGGAACTATTTATAGAGGTTGTTATGTAAATGACTGGAAAAAAATTGTCTGATTCAATAAACAAAAGAAAGAAAATCTACATTAATGTAATCCTCTTTACAAAGGTAGCAGTTTGAAAGAAAAACCATCTCAGTTTGATGAATAATGAAATTATCTGCCAGTGATAATTATGAAATTATCTACTTTACATTCTTGCATAAAAAGATGCCGATTATTTGCCTTTTTCCAATTTGATTTTGAAAATTCCCCTTCAAAGTAAAAAAAAAATGCATTTGAGCGAGATGTAAAACATGGCTGGGTTAGAACATGTGATAAGACTGGAGCTTGAGCCTTGAAATATTTAGACTTGTGTTTCATTATGTAATAAAACACGGGGCGTCCCTGGCTGAGTGGTTAAGGTTGTTGACTTCAAACTACTTGCCCCTCATCGTTGTGGGTTTGAACCCCGACAGGGATTTTGAATTCTTTCTTGTGAGGAAGCTATCCACTTAGCTTACAGAAAGTCTTTGGTTCTACTCAGATGCCCGTTTGTGCCTGAAGTAATGCATATAGGGGCACCTGATGTCTTCTTCCACCAGTAAAGCTGGAAAGTCGCCATATGACCTTTACTGGTGCAATGTTGAACGCAACAAAAATAAAAGAAAATATAATAAGACATGGTATTTAGCATGTATTAAGACTGATACGTCACTAAGGTGAGGAAATATCCTGTTATATTAATTACTTTATATTGATTTTCTTTTCTCTTTTGTTCCTTGTCTTGAAAGGTTTTTAAGTTCAACACCAGAGAATTCCCCGTCTCGGATACCGTTGTTACAGTTGCTAGGGGAAATGTACATGAAGCAGCCACGGATAGGATATCATTTACTGTATTTTCTTAAAGTCGGGTAAGTTTCAACATGTTGTGAAGGCAATTTTAGAAAGTACTGGTTTCCTAGCAGTTTCCAGCCCCAAGCATTTTTCTGGCCCCAAGCATTTTTCTGGCCCCTTTAAGTTTTCCGGCCCTTTATCATTTTCAGCCAGTACAGTCTATTCTTTATCAGTTAAGCCTCTATGCTACTTCATCAATCAAATAAGCATTTGTTTTCTATGCAATACAGTAGTCAAAAAAGTAAAGCATTTGATATGTTTTAAAGATGTACCTGTTGTTTAAAAATACGGGTATAAGAGAACTTGCGACATTTAAAAGTAAGCAACACCCGGTAATTCTTTTTGAATACCCATGTACAAAATAACTGAGATCCCATTCCAGGTAAATCAATACTTTTAAACAACATATTTGCAGACAACATGGAAAAGGTTGGGAAGTTATATTTATTTTGAAAAAAAAAACAACATCTTAACACTTGCTTACCGGTACTGACTTAAATTCAAAATAAAAAAAGGTCCGAAAAACTGCTATGAAATCTTGAATAAAAGTGAGAAAAGGTGTTACATTTCAGGCCTTTATTCAAATTAAAAAGTAAAATTAAAGAGCAACATTCAAAACATGATGTACCTTACTTTGTTCTGTCAAAGTTTTTTCTCTTCCTTAGACAGATTTTTATTTTATTTGTGAAAAAGTGCAATTTGGGACCGGAAACCAGTAAATAACATTTCAGAAAATCGAAGAGAGCTAAGAGCTGCTGGGATAGTGGGTTTTTTGGTTTTTGCAATAGTTTTCAAGGCTCTGAGTACTTTCAAAAGATCAAAGTCTGATGAGTCAAAAGGATTGTTCGTCCAGCAATATATGTAATAAGTAAATAGTATGTAAAAATGATAAAAGTACAAAAGTACTTCAGAAAAGTCAATCCTAGCTTTCAAACTTTTCTGAAGTACTTTTGTACTTTTATCATTTTTACATACTTTTTACTTATTACATAAAAGCGGTTGTGGCGCCGTTTAATGTCGCAACGCCGCTAAATGTCGCACTTGCCGCTAATTGTCGCACCATTGCCGCTAAATATCGCAACCGCCGCTAAATGTCGCAAAATCATTTGCCGTTAAATGTCGCAATGTTAACGCTAAATGTCGCACGAATTTCCCTTACCGTTAAATGTCGCAACACTACCGTTAAATGTCGCAAGATGTAAATTCATGTTAAAATCATGATTAAAGTAGTATTATATTACTTTTTAACATTCTCATAGTTATTTTTATTGTAATTGCCATCTTTGTTTTACTTGTTTTCTTTTATGAACCTAAATATCGAGGTTTTGAGCTGCTATATAATGTAATCTTTAAGCTAGAAAGGATAATTGATACTAAATTCTCAATAGATAAGTATTTTCTTTTGTTTCCCATTTTCATTTGTAACCCTGATTGACAACAGATTAAAGGTATTATGGTATTGTCGCTCTCAGAATTTGGTTTAAGTAATTTCATTTATTTTCCCAAACACTACCTAATTTACTTTAAATTACTATGATCATATGATGCAATATCAAAGGGCAGATAATCCTAGATGTAGTTTGCAAAGTTATTCCCCTTATTTCTCTAAGATGTTTTTCGCTCTGATTAACCTTTTGGTTACGGCTAATTTCAAACATATTCACTTTAAACTTAAATACTTATTTCATATAAAAGTACTAATGCATTTCTAAAGGACAGATGATCCTGACAGGTATTTTTGCTAAATTATCTCTCTTTTTATATTCCCCCCCCCCCCCAAAAATACATATTAAATATTCACTTCAAACGTGAAGGCAATTTTTTTTTATTTTATCAGAAACGGCAAATACGTGAAAAACATAGTATGAAATGCACGGTCAATACGAAAATCGAAAACAAAAAATATCATGTAGTACTCCTTGATCATGTTGTATTCGATCCGCAGTCGGGCGTTAGATATGACCGAATTTTACGATTAACACATATAATATGCACCGGAATTTTTGTTAGCAGCCAGCCCGCATAGCTCAATCGGTTAGAGCGCGAGACTTGTAACCTCGACCTTGTGGGTTCGATTCCCGGACTGGCAAACTAAAATTACTAATCAGTCTTTCGGATATCACTTTTAATCGATGTCCCATGTATGGGTGCTTCTAGAGGAAGCTTCTGGAATAAAATGAAACCCCACAAAAAAGTAACCAATGAACGAGCATCTGAATATGATATTTCCATCGCTATCCCTTTCTCTGTCGTCACAATATGTAAACCCTGGACAAAATGACCCAATCAATGGGCATGCTCTGGAGTACGGGTAACTAATACCTGCACTCCAGTTAACGCACTGTGCGTGTATATGTATACGATTTAACTCTGACACATTTTCAACAGCAAGGTTCCCAAACTATGATACAACTTAACAATAAAGGCTTAATGAGCGAAATTGTTATAAAAATTTTCACACCAGTGACCTTGACACTAGAGACCACTTACTCCACAAAAAATACACGGCCATTAAAGGTATTAGGTTAACCATACAAGGTCCTATTTTCAAAGTGAAACAAAGGAATATAACTTGGGAAAATTTAATGTCAGAGTTATATAACTTGGCAATATCATGAACTTTCTCTAAATAAGTAAGTGTGGAAATTATGAAGCCAAAAGTATAGACAGTACTTAAAAAATCCATCTTGCCGGTTTAGGTTCACGATATTCATTATCAAACTGCTGAAAATGGCAATACTTTGATAAAAATTTATGCAATAGTTATGTAACTTGCCAGGATCAAATAATAAATGTGTAAATTATGAAGCCATTTGTACGAGTAGATTTTAGGAAAAACCCAACATGCCATTTTATTATTTTGATCGTTCCATTTTTTATAACATGACACCAATTTTAGGCTGCCAGGCTCCTAGACTGCCAGCTTTAGGCTATTAGACTGCAAAGTTCAGTGCCCTTAAGGTAAAGGCGTTTTTTCCATAGTGCATTTGTATGTGATTTTGCAAGACCTTTCATAGTGATTTTACTGTTTTTTAAATTGTTTCCATATTTATAATATAAGTCACTAACTTTAAGCTACTAGGCTGCCGACTTTAGGCTATTAGATTGCCAACTTCAGGTTGCAAAGCTGACATCGATAGGATGTTAAGATGTTAGGCGGCCTCCTCATGATACTATGCTGCCAACGTTAGGCTTCCAGGGCGTTAGGCAAACTCCTAAGGCCCAGGTCGTCAGCTATTTAGGCTTCCTCTTCCGACTGCGAGACAATTTGCCTCCTCAGTCAACAAGGCCATCAAACTGCCACCTCAGGCAGCCAGACCGTTAGGCTGTCTCTTCTGCCAATTTTACAGACATGATTATACAAAACTATTTACAGAACAATGCCAATTTTGCAGTTTCATACAAAAAGTATACAATTGTATAATTATCAATATTTACTTGCATAGGTTCAGCTAAAATCCAACGCAAAACAATATACATTATTACAAGAGGAGTTTTATCGTCGCCAAAATTGAAACACAGTTCCATAATATAATAATTCACTCGCTTTCAAACAGACAAAATTCGTCTTGAGTAGGCAGATTTAATTAATTTAACAACAATAAAACTTGAGTTCAATCTTGCGACATTTAACGGTAATGTTGCGACATTTAACGATAAGGGAAATTCGTGCGACATTTAGTTTAAAAACATATTTTTATTGCATTAAATACATGTTTACAAACATATCATACAAATAATGAGTATATATCAAAATGCAAATGGGTTGGGCAACAAGTTCTTACAACATTAGATTAAGCCCTTCCCAGAAATTAATATTACAGAAGAAAATACTTTAAGGCAACAATGATTATTTTTAACATGCATATAAACTTTAAAATATATGTATTTCATTTTTTAACAGTTCATTTATTCATTAAAATTTAATGTACAATTTTGATTTTGAAGTGCGATCCATCCACAGGTTGCCATCCCGATCTCACTGTAGTTGTTAAAATAGTTGAAGTTTGGTTTTTGGGGAAAGATTGATAATGAATATTTGTTATTTAAGTAATTTAGATTAGAACAAATAAGCAAATATAAATGACAAATTTTAGAAAAACACACAAAATGAAAAGTCAAATATTATCAAAACGATGGGTCGTCTTGATAAATTTTTGAACTGATTCGAAAAATGACAACGTTATCTTCGTATTCTAAATTTTCACGACCGAACAAATAATGTATCAATGTTTAATGGATGATAAGATCGGGTTTCTCGAAAGAGTATCATTCGTTGAGACATATATCAGAAACCCCAGAATGACACGAGACATCTTTTCTATAAAAAGAATAATTGTCTATTTTTAAACTATTATCGGATACGGAACTATCAAGATGAGTTTCCGTAAAACAAAGTATGTCGAAGTCGAGCCAGTTGTCTTTAATGTGTGAAATTTTGTTACGCACGCTTCTAATATTTTGACTGTATATTGATAAACAATAAAGTTGCGATTCACTGTTAGGACCGGGATTATTTTCAACGTCTCCACTAATTATCAGTAATTGTAACATGATAGTGCCAATTATCAAAATTAGACAGTTTAAGTCAAAATTAGAATCACAACCCTGAAAGTTTCCAAAACTGAATGATTTCTCATCACATACTGATCTGTACAAACAGGTAAATACAATCATATAAACGTATAATAAAGCTATTTGCTTAAAGTTGCCTAAAAATAGCTTTCTTGGTGAATACATATATAATTTACACATTTTCATATAGCCCTGCAAACTGTTATAAAACAATCCTATCGCCACCCGCCATTCATTTAAACTATTACCTATTTGGGTATCACATACATACAACAATAAATTTGACTAGTGGCGACTGAAATATTATATAAACATTAACGACAGTTAACATATATGGATCGGAAAATATGGCAACCTGTAGAATCAAAGCACAGAAGGCGCTGAATTTGTTTGGGTCTCAGAATGTAAGAAAGGTGCAGGTTGTGAGATTATATGTATAGTGCCACCAATGCTTTCCAGCGTTTTAATTGTAGTAAATTGGCTATAAGACTTATTGCAACACTGATATGCAATCCAATGTTTATTTGACTTAAACAATTTGAAAAAAAAAATGAGTTGCCTTTACTGGGATTTGAACTCCAGACCTCTCGCTTTATAGGCGAGCGCAAAAAACCTTCAGCCACGGTGAATATATGTGAACGGCCTGAAGAAAACCATATTATTCTAAATTAGGGCTTGTAACGACTTTAACTGTTGTTTAACACAGATGTAAATAATCCTGGAGCTTACTATAAGCATGTATATTTATAAAGAATCAAAGGGATGCAAGTTCTGTGGTATTTTCTGATCTTTGCAATCTTAATCGTACTGTATATCTGTATGCATTTTCCTGTATAAGTTTATTTTTATGTATTATAATTCATTTTGCAAGGCACCAGAGTTTGATACATACGGAATTCTGCATAACTAGAGATGCATCAAAAAATCATTTATGTTCATTTTTTTACGACAGTCACACTTTATCCTTGCATATCAGGGCTACTTCCTTAACAAAGACACTTAAAAAAGAATTTTAAAAAAAAGTTTCCTCGACTTGGTTTTGAACTCCAGACCTCTCACTCCTGAAGCGAGCGCGTTACCCCTGCACCACGGAGGAGTTATACAAATTTACATCTGAATAACATCAAGTCATTCTAGATTTAGAACTTCCATTGCATTTCGGGTGTGTTATCCTTATTAATTTCGAGGTATTTTGTTCAGGATAAACCTGTTGTTTGAAATTGAAATAAATAATTTAGCGAAAATCTTCTCGCCCAAACAGTCCGACATGTAGAATCTATATATTCCACTACTCGGTTTGTGTAGTATTCGGTAATAGATATCGCTAAAAATAGTATTTTCATTGATAAAATCATATTCATCCGCGTAATTTGTGATTGTGCATTTATTGACAATTCTATTAGCCAACGCTATTTTTAAACTTTGAATGCGTTGTTATTTGTTGGATACTTGAAACAAAATAAAAATATTTCTTTCTTTTAAATCGCTAGTTTTAAGCTGTTTTGAGAACTACTTGTTGTTAGGTTTGTTGTGAACTTCTGTGTCAGAGATTGAATGTCCGCTTTGTATTTACTTAATTTCGATCAAAAAATACAATAAAACAATATTAGAAATCTTCGACCATTCGGGAATTATTTTGCTTGAACATTAATTCGCCTGTCTTTGACTATCTTTACGCAGTGATCTCCCCTGAATTTTTCGGCGTTAGTGTACATATAAAGGGAAGTAACCGCTTCAAAAAAGTGGACTACTTTCGGCGTTTGCAATTAAGAACATTAGACTCTGAAATTTCGCTACCATTATTTGTTTGGTCTGACGACCCAAACAAATAAAAATGAATCGCATAATAAGAATAGATTTTAAAAAGTAACAAGTAAAAAGTGTGGTTATTAAAATTAGCATAGCGATGTCTATAATCAAAATTATCATAGCGATATCTGTAACATAACGGGTAAGAAAAGCGACTCGTATTAACTGAGATAAATCATGCTTTACTATCATGTAAAAACACAAACTTACTGTAATATGACAATTGATTAAGTTTGCAGAAGAGATACATAAAAACGGGGAAAAACGGAAAAACGTGCCCTAAACATTTCTAAAGGTACGCGACCTACATTTATTTAATAATCTTTGAAACAAAAAAAAGTAAATGAATAAAAATACAACATACTTAACATATTTACAAAGTATAACTACAAAATTTATACATTTATTATCATTGTACATGAAATTATGGATGAGAAAATACATTAATTTTGTTGTTACAAAAAAAGCAATAGAGATTGAATACAGTAGGAAAATGCATTGCATCAACCGAAATGTGTAAAAAATGTGACAATATACTGGATTAGCGCCATTTTCTAACTTATCCGCGACATTAGAACGATTAACTTTGTTAAAATATAATTACCAAAATTAATCTTTGAAAAAGATTGATCAAATTTACATTTTTTTGTAAAATGCAACAAGTTTTGCTTAGATTTGAGATTACAATGAGTATCTTCCTTTAAAGAAAGAAAACATTTACACTCTAGCATTTCGTGTATGGATTGAAATTAATTGTTATGAGGTTACATGTGTTATAAAGATGTTTGTGAAAAATATTACATAGGAATTTACAAAAGGTATTTTAGTGTATTGATTTAATAAGAAAGAAGAATTCTTTAAATAGAATACTGGATTTACAGAGGAATGTTATTCAACTTTTATATTCAACCAGGTAAGACTTTCAAAAAATAATACATGTATATATATAATTATATATAATATGTAAACATAAAGGTCAAGGTCAAAGTGCATATAATCACTGAATGATATATTGATTCCAATATGTGTGCATTTTGAAAAATAAGACACAATATACATACATAAATATATACATAATCACTGATAATTTCCAGATGTATTCGTTGAAAAGCGAAATGTAGTTTAAGTTCATAATCACTGATCATCATATTGTCAGACATCATTAATTGTCAGGTGATCGATGTCATTCACGTCTCTTATGGATTTAACCTTGCTTGTAGGAGAAGATTTGTAAAGAATACGACCGTCGCTGGTCCAAAAACTATCGATTTTGCTGGATTTTCTGGCAAATTCAAGCTGCTGAACGAGGAACTGCCTCTTTCTTGTTAGATCCTCTGTAATGAAAACATTGACTTTGGTTCCATTATGTTTTTTGATGTTTGATTTGTTCATGTACACATGATGTTTAGTTTTCCATGCCTTGAATTTGCAAAGAATTTGTGAATAACCATCTTTCACAGGACCAATTGTGTGGGAGCGTTCAATATCGTTTACACTTAAAGGCGGGTCAACTTTCATTATGTTGTTGCAAATATTCACAACTATCTCATCAGTATTAATTTTAAGATTCTCTGGTTGCTTTTTGTTATATACACCATTTGTTTTATCAATATTAGCCTCTGACGTCTCATACATTTTGTGCGACATTTAACGTTAACATTGCGACATTTAACGGCAAATGATTTAGCGACATTTAGCGGCAAGTGCGACATTTAGCGGCGTTGCGACATTTAACGGCGCCACATTGACTACATCAGTTCTTTGAATTTTAGTGTGTTCGGTCGATTGAAATATTTACTTGGAATTAGGCTTCTCCTACTAAAACAGAAGAAAGGGCATTTTAACATATAGTGGAATTCATCGGCAATATCATTTTGATTACATAAAGTGCATTTCCTTTGACCATGTTCTACAAGAGACTTGCGCCATCTGCCAGTTTGAAAAAGTGTCACAGTTAAATCGTATACATATACATGCAAAGTAAGTTAACTGGAGTGCAGGCATCAGTTACCCGCACTCCAAATCATTCCCGTTGAGAAATAAAGTTGATTTCTATGGTGGCTGATTTGGAACGTTTTTGTGCGCCGTCTTGTAGCTAGCGAAGCACGCCAAACGTCGCGTTGTCGTGTGGCGTGTTGTCGCCATGTCGCTCAAATCAAAGGATTGGCTTATAAGCCAAGCTACAAGACGTCAGTGCGACGAAAAGGCGATAACGATATAGGTTGTGTTGTCGCTATCGACAACGCAACGCGCAAAGTGTTCCAAATCAGCCACCATACATTATAAGCTATATCATTCTCGTAAATGAAATACATGGAAAAATAAATAAAATAATGATTATTAATAAATTAAAAAACATAAAAAAATAAATAAATTAAAAAGTAAAACAAAAATAGAATAATTTAATTCAAAGGCCTAATAAAAGTTTCACCCGTTGTGGGATTTGAGCTTACGACCTTCCGCATGCGAAACAAGGACCTTAACCACTTCTCTAACAACCCATATATTATCTTTCAAATGTTTTTCCTGTTGGTGCATTTTCGTATATGGCTTTATCCTGCCACCCCTGTGTACTTATAAATTAAGATTTCCCATTCTCGATCATATTTGAATCGATACCGTTATGCCGGATTCCGATGATTGCCGATAAAAGGTCATTGAAAATTCAAATGTCTCGGGCCAATATTGCCCAACAATATTTCAATAATGAAAAGGTCAGAGTTGAGAAGCACGGCGGAATATGCCGAATTTTCCCGCTTCACAGATTACAGACCACGTGATCATTTGAGCTAACAGGTCATTTTTGGTGGGAAACTCGCGCCGAGAAGACGTTCTTTGTGAATAAGTAAGTGTGATGATATTTTACAACTTTTGTATTTGATCGTTTATATTGTTCTTGATGTATGCTATTTTTTATGTACTCGCGCTTTATAAAATATCTTTAAATATGTATGTTATCCCTGTAGTTAGTTATGAGTTGAGTTGAAGTTATTGTTGATGGTTCTTATAAAATGTGATTTGGCCAGACTACGTGATGCGCCCGCGGTTTTGTTGATATACTCGCGATTTATAAAATATCTTTATGTAAATTATCCCTGTACCCCCTATAGTAAGTAATGTGTAGAGTTGAAGTTATTGTTGATGGTTGTTGTAATAAAATGTGATTTGGCCAGACTACGTGATGCGCCCGCGGTTTTGTTGATATACTCGCGATTTATAAAATATCTTTATGTAAGTTATCCCTGTACCCCCTATAGTAAGTAATGTGTAGAGTTGAAGTTATTGTTGATGGTTGTTGTAATAAAATGTGATTTGGCCAGACTACGTGATGCGCCCGCGGTTTTGTTGATATACTCGCGATTTATAAAATATCTTTATGTAAGTTATCCCTGTACCCCCTATAGTAAGTAATGTGTAGAGTTGAAGTTATTGTTGATGGTTGTTGTAATAAAATGTGATTTGGCCAGACTACGTGATGCGCCCGCGGTTTTGTTGATATACTCGCGATTTATAAAAAAATCTTTATGTAATTATCCCTGTACCCCCTGTAGTAAGTGATGTGTTGAGTTGAAGTTATTGTTGATGGTTGTTGTTATAAAATGTGATTTGGCCAGACTACGTGATGCGCCCGCGGTTTTGTTGATATACTCGCGATTTATAAAAAAAAATATTTATGTAAGTTATCCCTGTACCCCCTGTAGTAAGTGATGTGTTGAGTTGAAGTTATTGTTGATGGTTGTTGTTATAAAATGTGATTTGGCCAGACTACGTGATGCGCCCGCGGTTTTGTTGATATACTCGCGATTTATAAAAAAAATCTTTATGTAAGTTATCCCTGTACCCCCTGTAGTTGGTTATGTGTTGAGTTGAAGTTATTGTTGATGGTTGTTGTTATAAATTGTGATTTGGCCAGACTACGTGATGCGCCCGCGGTTTTGTTGATATACTCGCGATTTATAAAAAATCTTTATGTAAGTTATCCCTGTACCCCCTGTAGTAAGTGATATGTTGAGTTGAAGTTATTGTTGATGGTTGTTGTTATAAAATGTGATTTGGCCAGACTACGTGATGCGCCCGCGGTTTTGTTGATATACTCGCGATTTATAAAAAAAAATCTTTATGTAAGTTATCCTTGTACCCCCTGCAGTTAGTTATGTGTTGAGTTGAAGTTATTGTTGATGGTTGTTGTTATAAAATGTGATTTGGTCAGACTACGTGATGCGCCCGCGGTTTTGTTGATATACTCGCGATTTATAAAAAAAATCTTTATGTAAGTTATCCCTGTACCCCCTGTAGTTGGTTATGTGTTGAGTTGAAGTTATTGTTGATGGTGGTTGTTATAAAATGTGATTCTGGCCAGACTACGTGATGTGCCCGCGGTTTTTTATATACTCGTGATTTATAAGAAATCTTTATGTATGTTATCCCTGTAGTTAGTAATGTGTAGAGTTGAAGTTATTGTTGATGGTTGTTGTTATAAAATGTGATTCTGGCCAGGCTACGTGATGCGCCCGCGTTTGTTATTTTATATACTCACGATTTATAAAAAATCTTTATGTATGTTATCCCTTTAGTTAGAAATGTGTTGAGTAGAAGTTCTTGTTATAAAATGTGAATCTGGCCAGGCTACGTGATGCGCCCGCGTTTTTTTTTATATACTCGCGATTTATAAAAAAATCTTTATGTACGTTATCCCTGTACCCCCTGTAGTTAGTAATGGGTTGAGTAAAAGTTATTGTTGATGGTTGTTGTTATAAAATGTGATTCTGGCCAGGCTACGTGATGCGCCCGCGGTTTTTTGATATACTCATACTCGAGTATTGTATTTGATATGTATTTGTATCTTTTTCACCAATAAAATAATCATATGTTTTTTTTATTTTTGTTTTATTCTTCCTATTTCCTTTAGACCTCTTCCTTCATGTTTAACCTACTCTTTTTATGCTATGACTTGTGTATTTAGAATTTGTGTACTATGATTATGTTTGATATGTTTAATAATGTAAATAATAATTTAGATTTTGAAATGCCTGTATTTGTTTGCTCTTATACCTATATTTTTGTTTTACAGATCTACTTGCCATGTTCTTTAACTGTTTTTTCCCCTATTCTAATGTTTTGTGTTTTTTTTGTGTTTTTGGAAACCCCCTGGAAAGAAGATGTTGGTGTTCTAGTTCTACATTGTGGCGGAGACGTGATGATGTGGATAGCTGCATGTGTATTATTGGTTGGAAACTGGCATGATGGAGCAATTAGGTATTTTACAATATTATACTTTAAGGATTTTTTGTATGCATAGTATCATCTATTTAAGAGATAGAAAATTCAGCTAGTTCAACAAACAGTTGATAGGAATTGTCTATTGGAGATAGTCTTTTAGCTAGCTAGACTGGAAGGTAAGTGGTTCTACTAGGCATGAACTTGCCCTACCCTGAAACTCATTTGACGGCCTTTATCTGCCTTATAATAAAGAATGGGCATTCATATAATATAAAACCAAAGAAACATTGATATTTACCTGCTTACTTGAAAAGTAATTTGTAAAGACATGATAAATATTAACATTATAAGATTAGAATGTTATTTTGTAAACCCTGGTGATTTTTCAGACCATGGAGGAGTGATGAAGCGGAAGTGGATAAGACTATCAGTTCTTCGAGAGTCCCAGTGCCTATATACTCGCAAGAAGGATATGGTATGGAATAGCTTAGTACATCTATGTGCTGGCAGATTTGTACAACAATAAGTTGTTCCAGTGTGAAGAAAGATGCGTGTCATAAGGTAAACCTTGTTCTTTGATGCTATAGTAAATCATAATAAAGATAATGAATCATAATAAAATCAAAATACAAGTTTGGTTGAAATCCTGTGCAATTTGAGCCAAATGAATATAGAGGTGAGTATCCTGTCGGACATTTTGGAGACTAGGGTTCCATTCCCTGTCTATGTTTACTTACAAAATACAATTTTATTATGTTTACTTACAAAATACAATTCTATTATATTACTTATGAATAAAGTATACAGTTGATAGGAATTGTCTATTGGAGATAGTCTTTTAGCTAGCTAGACTGGAAGGTAAGTGGTTCTACTAGGCATGAACTTGCCCTACCCTGAAACTCATTTGACGGCCATTATCTGCCATATAATAAAGAATGGGCATTCATATAATATAAAACCAATGAAACATTGATAATTACCTGCTTACTTGAAAAGTAATTTGTAAAGACATGATAAATATTAACATTATAAGATAAGAATGTTATTTTGTAAACCCTGGTGATTTTTTTAGACCATGGAGGAGTCATGAAGCTGAAGTGGATAAGACTATCAGTTCTTCGAGAGTCCCAGTGCCTATATACTCGCAAGAAGGATATGGTATGTAATAGCTTAGTACATCTATGTGCTGGCAGATTTGTACAACAATAAGTTGTTCCAGTGTGAAGAAAGATGCGTGTCATAAGGTAAACCTTGTTCTTTGATGCTATATAGTAAATCATATTATTATATGATCTAAATATAGCTGCAATCTCATTGGTTCAAACGGTAGTCAACAGAACTTTTTATAAAATCATATTTACTGGGTGTAGTATCATATTCACTGGCTGAATTGGATTTTCCCAGTCTAAAAATAGATTGAGGCTCGTATTCAATGATCATACACCGTAGACTGTTAAATACGCGTGTTACTTAAAAAATAATTGTTGCTTTTTGTTCTTTATGGCATATTTCTCGATTAAAATATCATTACTTTACTATTTTACTTAAAGGCTACACGGCAATGATGAGTATAAACTTGAATTACTTTTGTATGCGCAGCGTTCGCGAAGTCGTTGCACGCCAAACACGTGCGTCTTTTTTCCGCGCTTCAACGATGCAAAATTTGTACATGTATATAAGGTTGTACTTTTGTGATTTTTTTTATTTCTTAGCCTATTCATATAATAAAACAATTATTGACTAGTGAGCCATTGAATATGATGTGATATTCACCGGCAGAAAGTCATATTGACCTCGGCTATCGCCTCGGTCAATATGTCATCTGCCGGTGAATATCACATCATATTAAATGGCTAACTAGTCAATAATTGTATAATATAGATAATGAATCATAATAAAATCAAAACATAAGTTTGGTTGAAATCCTGTGCAATTTGAGCCAAATGAATATAGAGGTGAGTATCCTGTCGGACATTTTGGAGACTAGGGTTCCATTCCCTGTCTATGTTTACTTACAAAATACAATTTTATTATATTACTTATGAATAAAGTATACAGTTGATAGGAATTGTCTATTGGAGATAGTCTTTTAGCTAGATAGACTGGAAGGTAAGTGGTTCTGCTTGGCATGAACTTGCCCTACCCTGAAACTCATTTGACGGCCTTTATCTGCCATATAATAAAGAATGGGCATTCATATAATATAAAACCAATGAAACATTGATAATTACCTGCTTACTTGAAAAGTAATTTGTAAAGACATGATAAATATTAACATTATAAGATTAGAATGTTATTTTGTAAACCCTGGTGATATTTCAGACCATGGAGGAGTGATGAAGCGGAAGTGGATAAGACTATCAGTTCTTCGAGAGTCCCAGTGCCTATATACTCGCAAGAAGGATATGGTATGGAATAGCTTAGTACATTTATGTGCTGGCAGATTTGTACAACAATAAGTTGTTCCAGTGTGAAGAAAGATGCGTGTCATAAGGTAAACCTTGTTCTTTGATGCTATATAGTAAATCATAATAAAGGTAATGAATCATAATAAAATCAAAATACAAGTTTGGTTGAAATCCTGTGCAATTTGAGCCAAATGAATATAGAGGTGAGTATCCTGTCGGACATTTTGGAGACTAGGGTTCCATTCCCTGTCTATGTTTACTTACAAAATACAATTTTATTATATTACTTATGAATAAAGTATACATTTGATAGGCATTTTCAGTTGTAGTTGTTTAACAGGCTAACTTTTGGTAGGTTGGTGGGTCTGTAACTTTTTGTGTTGCCTCTACAGAGTAGTGGTGACATATAGGGATCACTTCTCCGTGGTTTGTCAAATGGGTGACTAGGAAAACAATAGGTATTGGTACATTTTCTTCGATTCTTTTAATTCTGTTTTACTTGTGTGTCTTCTTTTAAGCCTTGTGTGACTAAAAGATCAAAGGAAAGTCACGTAAGTAATTCCGTCTGTCTGTCCGGACTACTCAAAAACTACTGGTGCAATTTCATCTAAACTTTACAAGAAAGATCAGTTACAAGTCTAGTTGTGCATCTCGTCAACATTTTTGGATTCAATCATATTTGTCAGAGAAATGGCCCTTCAATGATTTTAATTTTTAGCTCGACTATACGAAGTATATAGAGAGCTGTCCTACTCGCCCGGAGTCCCCTTCGAGATTTCAGATTAAAGATTTTTGGAAAAATCTGTATAGTACGCCGCCGACCTCTAAATAACTTTCATATGGAATTAAATATTTTTTCAGAAAATGGATTGTTGTGTAACAGTGGTGAAGTGTTTGTTGATCGAGACTATCAATTCTTCGAGAGTCCCAGTGCATAAATACTCACGAGAAGGATATGGTATGGAATAGCTTGGTACATTTCCGTGCTGGTATATTTGTACATTTGGAAGTTGCTTCAGTGTGGAGAGAGATGGACACGGTCAGTATGCAATTTGATAGGAATGATCTATTTTACCTAGTCTATAACTAGATAGACTAGAATATCTGTGGTTCTACCCTTTTACCGTTTACCTGCCCTTGTCTGTCCATTGTGGGGCATATTTTTTCTGCCAATAAAGGTGGAGAGTCGTCAAATGACTTAGAAAACAACAAAACAAATGTGATTTGTTTAGTTAAAAAGACTTTGTTCAACATATGGTATAGTTTAGAAATGAGATTGGAATGTTGTTTTGTTAACCCCAGTGAACTTTCAGTTAATCTTAAGACCAAGGAGGCAAATTTGCAAGAATGACATGAAACATGGTGATGATGGACGGATGTGTGGATGGTCAAAGCCACTCAGTGACAGAGTATTGAAGTACTTGACGTGCATTGTGAAAGTTGATCGAGACTATCAATTCTTCGAGAGTCCCAGTGCTTATATACTCGCAAGAAGGATATGGTATAGAACAGCTTGGTACACCTCTTTGCTGGTAGATTTGTACGTTTGGAAGTTGTTTCAGTGTGGAGAGAGATGGACACGGTGTATTGTACGGTAAACCTTGCTCTTTGATTTCATTGGTAAATCCCTATAAATATAATGAATTTATGATAATAATTCAGAAATTAGTATGCCCTTGTCTGTCCATTTTGGGGCATATTTTCTCCGCCAATAAAGGTGTAGAGTCGTCATATGACTTGAGAACCAACAAAACAAATATATAGCTGGGTACATCTCTGTGCTGGTAGATTTGTACATTTTAAAGTTATTTCAGTGTGGAGAGAGATGGACACAGTCAGTATGCAATTTGATAGGAATGATCTACTTTAGCAAAAGTAAATTTAGAATATCTTGTGGTTTTTCCCCTTTTTAAACCTTTTTACCTCCCCTTGTCTGTCCTTTTTGGGGAAATATTTTTTTTTTCCCAAAAGGTGGAGAGCCCGTCAAATGACAAGAACTAAAAAACCAAAATTTTAAATTTGTTTATTTAAAAAAAGACTTTTTTCCAACTATGGTAAAATTTTAAAAAAAATTTGAGATTGGAATTTTTGTTTTGAAAAACCCCAAAGTGAATTTCTTTAAAATCTTAAAAACCAAAAGGAAAGGCAAATTTGCAAAAATTTAAAAATAAAAACATGGTTGTTTGATGGATGGATGTGTGGATGGTCAAAGCCACTCAGTGACAGAGTATTGGAGTACTTGACATGCATTGTGAAAGTTGATCGATACTATCAATTCTTCGAGAGTCCCAGTGCCTATATACTCGCAAGAAGGATATGGTATGGAATAGCTTGGTACACCTCTTTGCTGGTAGATTTGTACATTTGGAAGTTGTTTCAGTGTGGAGAGAGATGGACACGGTGTATTGTACGGTAAACCTTGCTCTTTGATTTCATTGGTAAATCCCTATAAATATAATGAATTTATGATAATAATTTAGAAATAAGTATGCCCTTGTCTGTCCATTTTGGGGCATATTTTCTCCGCCAATAAAGGTGGAGAGTCGCCATATGACTTGAGAACCAACAAAACAAATATATAGCTTGGTACATCTCTGTGCTGGTAGATTTGTACATTTTAAAGTTATTTCAGTGTGGAGAGAGATGGACACAGTCAGTATGCAATTTGATAGGAATGATTCTACTTTAGCTAGTAGACTAGAATATCTGTGGTTCTACCCTTTTACCTTTTTACCTGCCCTTGTCTGTCCGTTTTGAGGCATATTTTTTCTGCCAATAAAGGTGGAGAGTCGTCAAATGACTTAAGAACCAATAAACCAAATGTGATTTGTTTAGTTAAAAAGACTTTGTTCAACATATGGTATATGTTGAGAAATGAGATTGGAATGTTGTTTTGTTAACACCAGTGAACTTTCAGTTAATCTTAAGACCAAGGAGGCAAATTTGCAAGAATGACATGAAACATGGTGATGATGGATGGATGTGTGGATGGTCAAAGCCACTCAGTGACAGAGTATTGGAGTACTTGACATGCATTGTGAAAGTTGATCGAGACTATCAATTCTTCGAGAGTCCCAGTGCCTATATACTCGCAAGAAGGATATGGTATGGAATAGCTTGGTACACCTCTTTGCTGGTAGATTTGTACATTTGGAAGTTGTTTCAGTGTGGAGAGAGATGGACACGGTGTATTGTACGGTAAACCTTGCTCTATGATTTCATTGGTAAATCCCTATAAATATAATGAATTTATGATAATAATTTAGAAATTAGTATGCCCTTGTCTGTCCATTTTGGGGCATATTTTCTCTGCCAATAAAGGTGGAGAGTCGCCATATGACTTGAGAACCAACAAAACAAATATAGCTTGGTACAACTCTGTGCTGGTAGATTTGTACATCAGTATAGAGAGAGATGGACACAGTCAGTATGCAATTTGATAGGAATGATCTATTATAGCTAGTCTATTACTAGATAGACTAGAATATCTGTGGTTCTACCCTTTAACCTGCCCTTGTCTGTCCATTTTTGGGCATATTTTTCTGCCAATAAAGATGGAGAGTCGTCAAATGACGTAAGAACCAACAAAGCAAATGTGATTTGTTTAGTTAAAAAGACTTTGTTCAACATATGGTTTATGTTGAGAAATGAGATTGGAATGTTGTTTTGTTAACCCCAGGTAAATCTCTATAAATATAATGAATTTATGATAATAAATCAGAATTAATGCCCTTGTCTGACAATCGGCTCTCGACTTTCACTTTTTCATTCTGGACTGTTTTTTTCCACATATTCATCAATATACAACACAAACATATCCCCTGGACAGCCCTGACAATCAGCTTGACTTCCACTTTTTCATTCTGGACTGTTTATTCACTCATATACACAAACATATCCCCTGGACAGCCCTGACAATCAGCTCGACTTCCATTTTTTCATTCTGGACTGTTTTTTTCCACTCATATTCATCAAAACACAACACAAACATATCCCCTGGACAGCCCTGACAATAAGCCTGACTTCCACTTTTTCATTCTGGACTGTTTATTCACTCACATTCATTAATATACAACACAAACATATCTCCTGGACAGCCCTGACAATCAGCTTGCCTTCCACTTTTTCATTCTGGACTGTTTATTCACTCACATTCATTAATATACAACACAAACATATCCCCTGGACAGCCCTGACAATCAGCCTGACTTCCACTTTTTCATTCTGGACTGTTTTTTATTACTCAAATTCATCAAAACACAACACAAACATCTCCCCTGGACAGCCCTGACAATCAGCCTGACTTCCACTTTTCCATTCTGGACTGTTTTTTTTTCATTCATATTCATCAAAACACAACACAAACATATCCCCTGGACAGCCCTGCCAATCAACTTGACTTCCACTTTTTCATTCTGGACTGGTTTATTTCACTCATATTCATCAAAACACAACACAAATATATCCCCTGGACAGCCCTGACAATCAGCCTGACTTCCACTTTTTCATTCTGGACTGTTTTTTTCACTCATATTCATCAAACCACAACACAAACATATCCTCTGGACAGCCCTGACAATCAGCCTGACTTCCACTTTTTCATTCTGGACTGTTTTTTTTTCACTCATATTCATCAAAACACAACACAAACATATCCCCTGGACAGCCCTGACAATCAGCCTGACTTCCACTTTTTCATTCTGGACTGTTTATTCACTCACATTCATTAATATACAACACAAACATATCCCCTTGACAGCCCTGGCAATCAGCTTGACTTCCACTTTTTCATTCTGGACTGTTTTTTCACTCATATTCATCAAACCACAACACAAACATATCCCCTGGACAGCCCTGACAATCAGTCTGACTTCCACTTTTTCATTCTGGACTGTTTTTTCACTCATATAAATCAAAACACAACACAAACATATCCCCTGGACAGCCCTGACAATCAGCTTGACTTCCACTTTTTCATTCTTGACTGTTTATACACTCACATTCATTAATATACAACACAAACATATCTCCTGGACAGCCCTGGCAATCAGCTTGACTTCCACTTTTTCATTCTGGACTGTTTATTCACTCACATTATTAATATACAACACAAACATATCCCCTGGACAGCCCTGACAATCAGCCTGACTTCCACTTTTTCATTCTGGACTGTTTTTTTTTTTCAATCAAATTCATCAAAACACAACACAAACATCTCCCCTGGACAGCCCTGACAATCAGCCTGACTTCCACTTTTTCATTCTGGACTGTTTTTTTCACTCATATTAATCAAAACACAACACAAACATATCCCCTGGACAGCCCTGCCAATCAACTTGATTTCCACTTTTTCATTCTGGACTGGTTTATTTCACTCATATTCATCAAAACACAACACAAATATATCCCCTGGACAGCCCTGACAATCAGCCTGACTTCCACTTTTTCATTCTGGACTGTTTTTTCACTCATATTCATCAAACCACAACACAAACATATCCCCTGGACAGCCCTGACAATCAGCCTGACTTCCACTTTTTCATTCTGGACTGTTTTTTTTCACTCATATTCATCAAAACACAACACAAACATATCCCCTGGACAGTCCTGACAATCAGCCTGACTTCCTTTTTTTTTCATTCTGGACTGTGTATTCACTTACATTCATTAAAACACAACACAAACATATCCCCTGGACAGCCCTGACAATCAGCCTGACTTCCACCTTTTCATTCTTGACTGTTTATTCACTCACATTCATTAATAAACAACACAAACATATCCCCTTGACAGCCCTGGCAATCAGCTTGACTTCCACTTTTTCATTCTGGACTGTTTTTTCACTCACATTTATAAAAACACAACATTAACATATCCCCTGGACAGCCCTGACAATTAGCCTGACTTCCACTTTTTCATTCTGGACTGTTTTTTCACTCATATTCATCAAAACACAACATTAACATATCCCCTGGGCAGCCCTGACAATCAGCCTGACTTTCACTATTTCATTCTGGACTGTTTTTTCACTCACATTTATCATTATACAAAATGTACAACACAAACATATCCCCTGGACAGCCCTGGCAATCAGCTTGACTTCCACT